AGGGGCAATTTAATATCTATATGAGCGGTAATTTAATATCTATATAATCGGTAATTTAATATCTATATAAGAGGTAATTTAATATCTATATGAACGGTAATTTAATATCTGTATGAGCGGTAATTTAATATGTAAGCGATAATTTAATATCTACATAAGCTGTAATTTAATATCTATATAAGCGGTAATTTAATATCTATCTATACAAGCGGTTTAAGTAACAAATATTACGACAAACTGAAACAATGAAATATTTAACCGCGGGTCATCTTCAAAAGAGTTGGTTTCAATATCTCGCGAATAAAAAATTTAAATTTATAAGTAATTTAAAAGAGAGAGAGAGAGAGAGAGAGAGAGAGAGAGAAATGGTAGAAAAAAAGAACTTTTTACATAATCTACATATTCTGAAAATATATTTTGCAAGGGCTCTCCCCCAAATGCAAAACATATTGGACCACACGTTTGAAAAAAAAAAAAAAAAAAAACATTTAAGAATAATGTTCTTAAATTTACTACTTGATTTTAATTTGAAGAAGTTCACGTACATGGCTCTTGTAAATCAAACGAAAGAACAAAATTAAATTAACCTGAAAATAATACAAAAATAATCTCGAAGTCTATGTTGCCCCCTTGCCTGTTTGATAATCCGTCTGTGCGGAAAGACAAAATAGTTGCACATTTATTTTACTCTTTGAAGCCAAATGTGAAGAAGAGAAGGAGGGAAAAAAAATTCACGTCCCCGGCGCCAGCTACGCCACTGCGATACAACTTTCCGTCGCGTTCTCCATCTGGCCACAAAGCGGCGGCAGGAAGAAGGAGCCAGGGCGAGTGCCCTGACCGGCCGGACAAAAGGCCGCCCGTCATGCTCCTCCTGGTGGACAGCTCCGCATCGCTGCACCCGCGTCTGGACACCACATCTGGCGCCTTTAGCGCCCTTTCCGCAACGGTACGTCACAAAACCGATAGTATTAGACATATTCTATAGCCATTGACAACTGAAGTTGAGCCTGCGTGGAAAGCCAAGAGGGGACTTGTTGCCGGTAAATGACGAAATATGTATTGGATTGAGAAGCGTTTTTCAAATTTATTGTAAATTTTAAAATTTATATTTTGAAAAGTTCGTTTGAGGAAGAAGTTGGCTCAATCGTTCTTCACTTTTTTTAAAAAAGTTTTAAAACCAAGGCTGTCAGCAGTTTGAAGCGTTTCTTATGTAATTATGTATGCTGCTATATAATTAATTGTCCCAAAACATCCGTTAAAATCTTTCTGATACTGCAAGATTCATGAACAAAATTTGAAGAACCTATGCAACAAACCCAAGTAGCACACTATATTGCTCAATATAGTAAAATTGGAAAAATCAATATTGTACAATATTGATTTACAATATTGAGACAAAGTAAAATGTAAGACTTTTCCCATATTGCTCAATATTGGGTTCCAATATTGTACAACATGGTTTCCCGATATTATACAACGTAGTTCCCAATAATGTACAACGTAGTTCCCAATATTGTTTAATGCATTTTCCCAATTCTATTTGTATTTAATTTATACTTTTTTTTTACCTGCTGTTACTACCACTATGTTTTAAAAAAATTACTATTTCCTACACAAAATATACTTTTAGTTAAACTTTTTTACCTACCTTTCAAATTATTCTACAGCAGAATTACTAAAATGTGAAACATCACACAAAAGTAGTACAACTCCAAATTGTTCTTCGAGTGTGATCACTTAGGTAGTGACGTAGAATATTAATAAGTTATGGAGAAAATTAGCTATCGGCGGTTTTTAAAAATCGTCTCGTTCAATTGATATTCTCATTTTAATTATAAAACATTTCAGAAGATAAAAGATTTTTGGGTATTGTAATTTTCTATACAAAAGTAGATTTTGACATCAAAAATATTAGACATGAAAGTATTTTAATATCGAGAAAAGCCGGGCATAACAGCTAGTAAATCAATAAATTAAAATAAACTTAACTTCCTACAGCATTAAACTGTCTTTCAAATAATATAAAACATTGTGCCAATGTTTTATTTCTACGCGCATATTTAAATTTGATTTTTAAAAATTCGCCTACAATATTACTCAACCGACTTTTTTACGCGTCTCAGCACCAGGGCAGGATTACTAAACAGGTAAAGTAGGCAGCTGCCTATGGGCCCCACAACCTTCGGGGGCCCTGAGAAAATCGTTTTTGTGGTTTTTTTAGGGTAATCTAATTTTGGGCTTACATTTAATTAACAAGGCCTATATACTTAAGCATATTCAAATTAAGTATTGCTTAAATTTAAGAACATTATTCTTCGATTTTTTATGATTTGAAATTTGCTTGCAGATCAATGTCCAGTTTTTTTCGCATTTGGCTGACTAATTCAGAAGTCAACAGTTTTGGAAGTCTTTGTATTAGAATACTAGCTGTTATGCCCGGCGTTCCTCGGGATTAAAATACTTTCATGTCTAATATTTTTTATGTAAAAAAACTACTTTTGTATAGAAAATTACAATACCCAAAATTCTTTTATCGTGTGAAATTATTTTTAATTAAAATAAGAATATCAGTTGAACCAGACGATTTTTAAAAACCGCCGATAGCTAATTTTCTCCATAAGTTATTAATATTTATTGCATAGTATTCGTGCAGTATTTATAAGAAAGATTTTAACGGATGTTTTGGAACAATTACATAGTAAATTTTTCATTGAGAAAAAGCGTTAGAATAAATATGAATTAAAAAAAATTCTTCATCCAAAATTCTTCTGTGATCTAGCAACAGTTCTTATGTATTCTTGTTCTTCAGCAATAAAAGAAGACTGTGATAAATTGTAAATTTTATACACAATTTAATTTTTGAAAAATTATTAAAATGAGGGCAACGAATTGAACGGAAATGAAAGTTGTGTCGTGAAAAGCTAATTTTTAAAACTTTTATTATGTGTAAAAATAGTTTTTGTGACATAATACATATTTTCGAAAAATATCACGGAAAATGCCAAAATCTTGCTTAATTTCCAATTAACTGAAATTTTAATAAGATTTGGCTCTTTTAAAAGTTGACGGTTGACTCTCTTCTTACATAAAATATATTTATAAAAATAAGCAAAAATTTCAGAAATAAAGGTAAATTAGTTCAAAGTCTTACCGTTGCCTAGCAACGGAGTAGCTATAAATTTGCGTAATTTCAAAATCGTCTGCACGTAATTAACAATTATTAAACTTTCAAAAATTAATAAAAATTCAGGGAAGAATGTCACAGATATAAAATTGGTATAATTGAAAAGGTGTAAAGAGAGTTCGATTAAGTAAAAAAAAATTAAAACGCCAGAATGAAAAAGAATATACAATTTTTATTTATGTTTGGTTATACAAAATAATAGTAATGAAATACAGAATTTGAAATAAAACTGCTAAAGCTTTTGATTGTCAATTTGAACTGGGGTCTGGATAAAGAGGCTTATCCACTTTTTCATCAACAATGGATGTAAACAATGAATTTTCTTTCATTGGCAGAATGAAGACAGTTTTCTAGAATACGTCAGATTTTCTCTATTATAACAAACCTTCTCCCTCGCCGCATTCACTGGCGCAAATCCGGACATTTTGAAGATCCGGACAGTAGTCCGGACGTGAGCTTGAAATCCGGACTGTCCGGACGAAATCTGGACGTATGGTAACCCTATTAATGTATAGAGATTAAATTAAAATCAATAAAAAATATCTGGTTTTGGAAATTGAAGAGGGTAAAGTGTGCCCCGAAATTCACATCTGAGGGCCCCAGAAGGGCTTAATCCGGCCCTGCTTAGCACTATCAAAAGCCCTCCATGAAACTGAACAAATTGCGTTTTTAATATGAAGTTCAACCTGCAGAATAATTTATTATTGGCGCTTAATATATGAATTATTTTAAATATACCGTGATAAATATTTAACCGGCAAGCTGAGTTTGACGCGAATACTCGTCATGGAGAAATGGGAATATTTTGTGTCATGACGAGTATATTCGTAATGCGTGACAAGAAGTGACCATTGTCTACTTAATTTGTAATTTCAGTGAAAACTAAATTTTATTCGCAAATTTCTAAATGTTTAGCATATTTGGAGGCCAAGAAGAAATAAAACGAACAAATAAAAAATATAAATATTTATTATGAAAAAACTTTCTGCAGTGTGAACAATGCAGATGCTTTTCCTTTCTAAGTGAATCCACCTGGAATTCGTGTTTTGTTTTAGCCTATGCTAATAATTGGCTCGCCAGACAATATAAAATATGGTCCTCATTACACAAACGTTCCGTTACCATCGATTTAGTACAAAAAGACACCTTATGGTCATGAATGCTAAAAACAGAACGCTTAAAATGCACATTTGTTTGTTTGCGGCTTCTGAAACTGTGACGTCACGAAACTATGCTATACAGTGTGCAACGTGAAGTTCAAGCAAGGGTCCAGATGTGCATTGTAGCTGACGGAGAGAGGTTTGAACATCGAAAATAAAGGTATCTTGTGTTAACTAGTTGTTTTTTCTTTCTTTCTAAGAATGTTTTGTCACGTCCCAACTGAAAAAATCTGCAGAAAATCTGAAGTGTAACATGTTTTCTTCAGATTTTCTGCAGAAAAAAATGCAGAATATCTGAAGAAAACTATGTTCCAAATACCTTCAGATTTTTCTACAGTCAAGGTTTAATTATTAATTTCAATTAATGTAATTGATCTAATTTGCGATTCAACTTACCTGTACGATGACGATTCAGATTGTGACAAAACTTCAAACTCATCCTGTCCGGGATTTGAACCCGAATTCCTATAGTTGGCAGGCAGGAACGCTAACCACGACGCGAAAGGACGTAGGAAATCGCGAACAAACAAATACGTGTTTTAAGCGTTCTGTTCTAAGCATTTACGTCCACAAGGTGTCTTTTTGTACTAAATCGATTATTCTCTACAACTTTGCAATTCAACTTTTTCCTCTATCTGGTACCGTTTCAGAGATAATAACGCTAACTCCACCGTTATCCACCAGGTGGCGCTGTAAGTGGTTTCATCCAATAGCGCATAGTCACTTTACCATGCCTAGACAGCACTCTTACGAAGGTAGCTGCAACCAATCAGTAGCTAAAAGGGTGGTAAGGACTTTAGTGGGCACTCTGTATAACTATGCCCAAAACAATTTCACTTTATTAATTATGCGATTGATAAAAATGACAAGTATTTGAATTATTGTGAACGCAATAGAATCGTTACATGCAATTATATCAGAACAATTATTTCAATAAAATAAAAATTGAAAATTACCACTTTATAAAACTTTCTTTTTCTTCCCTTAGAATGTCTCTAGGGCTATTTATCTTTCCGTTTTCATAGAATATCGATATTTGTAAGCAATTCATAAGTACATTCACTGAAATCTTTAAATTAAAGGAATTTTACATCAAATACATAAGAATACAACTTTAATTTATATAACTTTTTAAAATTTATATATAATATTTAACTTATAAATTTGTGCACATATTATTTCGTTAGTTTGTTCTAAACGGCGTACTCAAAGCTCTGGACTAAATACTCAGAAAATTATTAACTGAATTATGGTAATGTTGTTCATTTTATAAAACTTTTTGCAATAAAATGTGATCTGACACTTCAGAATCAGTTACCAATTGAAAAATCTTACAAATTCTATTCTTACATTCTATTCGACATTCTCTCAAATTAAAATACTGATTTACATAGCTACAACATGTGATTTTCAATTACATTGAAACCTTTTCATGAAGTAACATGAAACGCGTACTAAAAATCTTTCTTTTTTTTAGTTTCAATTAGGAACGTAAAAAATCTGAATTTCACATTAATAAAACACTAGAAATAGGAAGAACTTCGAAAAATATGTTAAATATCATAAAAAATAGCTCATCACGTTGTCTTAAAGTCTAATTGTCACAAACATCTGAAAGAATTGATTATATACACAGTTTTTCGAAAAAGCACCCGAATTTTAAGCAAGGAAAATATTGTCAGGCATAGCAATAAAATCAAACGCATTCAAATATGTTATGTGCGGGAGTGTTCTCCTCTCGACTTTCTCGTATAATTATACAGTATGGCTCATATTGTGCTTCATAGAATCTATACTTATGAAAAGCAATGTTTGCATGTGTGTGCGTGTGCGATGTCCAGACGAATTTACCGCACTTACGGCCATGAAATTTGGCACAGAGGTAGACGTAATGGTGACTCAATGCCCCTCGAAGCCGGAATTTTAAAATTTAATATATAAAATTTTTTATTTAATGTTTTGTGTTGTTTTTGGTCATTTTTGGCACGTTTGCGGATGTAATACCTTTTCTAATGATCGTTGAAAAACAATCAATGCACCATCCGATATAACAAACAATTTTCATTGAAATGAAGTTTGTTTTGAATTTCCAACTTAATTTACTGAATTTAGAGAAATTTTTTAATAATAGTCACTCTTATGGTAATTTTTGATAAGGATTTCTTCAAATTCTCGCATATGGCGATCTAACAACTCTATACTTTTCATTTTTTGTCAGCTTATAACTGGAACGTTTCTGTCGGATTTAAAACAGGAACGGTTAAAATATCTTATTCCCTTTTTTTTGCAATTAATTTTTCCCTGATCAGTTCAAACAGTTTTTTTGCTAGCGAGATTTAACAGCGAGAGTTTCTCCGGACGATCCCAGAATGCATTGTTGCTTCCTCTCAGGAGGTGATGTAATATGCTTTCATTCCCAGCCTGCATTTCTACAATATCCGATTCCTTCCGGTGACGCCATTGCATTCGCGTCATTGTCGAGAGGAAAAATAAGCGGAAAAATCAATAATGTGTATCTTTTGTTTTGATTTTGTTTGCAAAATTTTTTCGAGTCATTGTGGGTATTTTTTTTCACATTTTGTTGAAGTCTTGATTCCACGGGCAACGCCATGCGAGTACTGATAGTCTCTACTAATAATAAAAGAGAATGTGTGTGTGTGTCTGTGTGTTGACACTGTACAGGGCAGACCGCTAGAGCTAGAGCCGAGAAATTTGGAACGAACATTCCTTGGAGGGTGGGAATGTGCACCTGGGAGCCAGCCTTCTTTTGAATTTTTAATTATAATTTTAATTAATTAAAATTTAAGCTAAATTTTGGCGTTTTTCCTTAATAACTTCCGAAAATATTACAGCACAAAAACCATCTTTACGCCATCTGAAAGTGCAAACAATTACCTTTTCAATGATATCAATTAAGTTGCCGTACATTTTTTTCTAATTTTAAGAACCTTTTAAAGATATTTTTTGGCATAATTTACAACGATACTTTTCACTGCTACAACGCATTTCAAACCGTTTTCATTGTTTAAACAAATATTTAATTGCGTGTTTCTCTACCATTGTTGAAAGCTAAGAACATATCTTACTGGATTTCGCTTTCTTCTTTTATTTGATCAATTTTTCTGTGAAATCTGTAAAGGAAATCCTCAAGATAGTTAGTATCTAATGAAATAATCCAGTAAACTGAAAGATTACCTTTGCTATGTTTTAATTCTTTTTATCAGCGTGCTTTAAGCCAACTAGCATGCTTCTGGACATGCCGTGCCAATGTAATGTTGAAATCAACTGCGTATTTTACGTTAATGTAGACAAGTAACAGAAAAAGAGTGCAAGGCCACGAAACGAACACGGGTTAAATGTCTATAGCAATTTGAAGTTTAAAAATACTTTTTAAGAGTACTGTGATGTATTTCAGTATAGCATGAATAATCGTGGAGCCTTCTTTATCAAAAAATAATATGTTTATTGGACGTCTTCCACAGCACAAACATGTAAAACAAACACATACACTTACATCACAAACGTTACACCATTGAATTATTGACATCCAATTCCATGTTCAATTCTCTTATTATTCTCCGTTGCTAGGCAACGTTAGAAAAAGACAAATATATAGTTGCCAAACTATTTTTATAACCTTTAGAAAAGAATTAATTCCAAACGATTTTTTTAATTAATTTCTTTTTAAGCCAAACGATATTTTAAATTAATTTCTTTTATGACCAAACGATTTTTTTATCTAAATAACTTCTTTTCTTTAAATATTTCAATAATTCTACATATATATATATATATTATTCGTTACGAATATTACAGTACCATGAATACAAAATTATTTATAAGTGATTCAGTTGAAAATTTATTTCTGGTGATCAAACTGAGCACCATTTTTGGGTGTCGTCTTTTCCACAGACTATTTTGGATATAATTTAATTACTAATTAATGAAATAATTTACTTACATCACATTTTTGACTTCAAAATAGGAAAGTTTTTCCGCAGAGGATTTAATTTTAACTAATGATTTTTTAAAATTAAAAACCAAGTCCAAAGTTGATTTAATTGAATAATTTTTATTAAATTTGTATTATTTAAATCGTTTTCCTTATACTCATTTGCATAGACATTCAAACTGTAGTTGAAAAGTAAAAAAAAAAAAATCGTGCCGTTTTTAATGAGATAAGAGGGATTAATATTCAATTTTGGCAAGAACACTCAGATTTCCAATTCTCTTCCGCATGTTGCATGAAACAAATGCATTCATTTATTTTTCCCCAGATGGCTGTCAGCGTTTGAGAGGATCGGGAAGCAGGGACCCATTCTAAAAAGAAAAAGGGCAGATGGTTCTGCTCACACTCCGGGCAGGTGGGCCAGAAACACATTCGTCCGAGGAACCGGTAGGAGATCTAATCGCTCGTTAAATGAATTTCTATCTGGAACGAGAGATCGAGTCGAATAATTACCCAAATGAACGTTTTCGAAGACCAATTGACCAACTTTTCTAGAAGCGTACAATGGGCCTTATGCACAGTTTGGGTTCGAGAGTATAGAAAAACAGCTATGGCGGGATAAACAAAGTGAACGCCTATTCTTTACTATGTATAATCGGCATGTAAATTAACGACTGAAATATCAATTTAAATTTTTATATTCGATTTTTTAGAGAAGTATTTCGTCAGAAAATTTTATTGATAAAGCTGATTTAACTGTCATAGTCGATTAAGGACGATTTTTTTGTAATCTTTATCGCTACAGAAATAAGACAGTGGTTCGTGCAACGATGCATTCTTGTGTATTGTCACAACTAGAAATAAGTGAATTTTTGCTTTGCATGGAAATAGTTTCTTTTGCTTTTTTAAAAATTTATTTCTTTTGCGTTGGTTATACGCTTTTTTGTAACACTTGGTATCGATACTTTTTATGTAAAATTCGCTTATAATATATACTGTTTTATAGAAAATTAAATTTTGTCCTTCATAGTATATATTTCTGACAGTTTTTTTTATTTTATGATTATTGCCTATAAAAACAGGTTTTTTGGATAAAAATAATATAATATTAGTTTTAATACATAACAATCGCAGGCCATCTTTTATTAACTCAATTTGTTGTCAACTGAAATTTTATTGAATTTTTTTTCCCTTCAATCTTTTAACGAAGTATTTCGGCAGAAAATTTTATTGCTATAAATTATTTCTCTAGTGTCGACGATTTAGGACTGTTTGTTGTGATCTTCATTCCTTCAGAAATACGATGTGCTTCGTGTGACGAATCTTTCTTTTAAATTTGTAACTCTCAATACATAATCTTTATCTCTGAATGTTTTTTTTTTTCAAATATATTTGAGTTTCAGTATATTTCACATTAATTGAATAACTGATTATGGCTGTTTGTCATTATTTCTGAAAAAATGGCTATTTTAACTTGCTATGCATTCTATTCGAACTCCGATCAGCTGTTTTCGGCGTCCCGCCGTCACGTGACTATGACGACACGTGCATAAGGTCCAT